CCCAGGAAGGTGGCATTTAGGAATATTGCATGATAAATGCTGGACTTCCCCAAGGCAATGGAAGTGGTCACGTGAATTGCTAGGAACTACCTTTGGGCGAGGGGCATAATTGGGAGAGCCCAGGAGTGTGTTGGTGGGGAAGGCAGTTGGGAGAGCCCAGAAGGGTGTTGGTGGGGAAGGCAGTCTTACAAGGAAGAGAAGAGGCAGAGAAAGCTTTCTTTTCTTCCCAGAGGAAGTAGCATTCTACGTACTTCCTAGAAGAACTGCCCAGTGTTAAAGCACTCGAGATGGGTGGTACTCAAGACATTGCAGGGTTGGGGACGACTCGGTGGTAGCCAAAGGCAAGCTTGGTTTGGCAATCAAGGTTTTTATACCCGTCCCTGGAACAGCAGCCTCACGAGGACAGCATTTTGGTTACTAGTCCCCATCACTGCTCCATGACATCAGTGTTAAGTTTCTATGAATAGAAAAAGAATCTGCATATCCCAGCCATGCGACAAATAATATAAATATTCTTCTGCATATGTGTGTGTGTGAGTGCACACTCCAGTGTGTACGTGGGTGTGGCAAGGCTTGGAGTGGGAGATTTGCAGAGCTAGAGCGACAGGAAGTGAATGAAGGAAGGTTAGTAGGAAGCCAGCAACCTCCCAGGCCTGGGCAGACGCAGATGGCGGTCCAGATTAGGGCTGAAACTCAGCACTGTCGCCCAAACAGCGGAGGTGTGAATTTGGTGAAAGGCTGGAGAGAAAGGGAGAAGGCAAGCTGGAGGGACAATGGGGACCCAGGTGGGAAGTAGGGCCCTGGAGGTATCTGCCCTAGGATGAGACAGCTCTGCCCCCAGGAAACCGTGCTGTGGGATCCAGTTCAGCAGCTGGTGTTGACCGTTTGGTTGGGATACAGGTTAGGGCTTCCGACCACCTGTGTCCCAGTCTTGAGCTATGGGATGGGGAACAGGAGCGCTGTGACCCACAGACCTAGGCAGAGGGGTGGCAGGCGAACGGCAACATGGAACTGGAACTGGAGGACGGCTGGACAGACTTGGGAAGCATTGAGACCAGGAGCAAGGAAGGCAAGTTCAGATTCTGGTGAGGCCCGGTGTCTGGAGAAAGCCGGAGCGGAAGTTTGCATGAAGCTTGCTTCGAGGTAGCAGAGCGGGACAGGTCGGGCACCCAAGGCCGGAGAGCGGAGGGACGGTGCTGCGACGACCGAGGAGCCAGGCTCTGGAAGGACCGAGGTCGGGGTGGGGAAGAGGGTCCTCGTCGGCAACACCTCGCTGTGTTTGTCTCAAAGCCCCCAGTGGGGACAGTGGATGTAAGCACTAGGAGAACCCCGTAGCCCTGGAGGTTGAAGGGCTTGGAGCGGTGAGGCATCCCCCGGCTGTGTCTTCTGAGGACTGCTGGCCCTTAGGGCAGGACGAAGGTCCGGACATCGGTCCCCGCCCCGCTTTCGCGCAGGCTCCTGAGCCATTTTCTATAGCTCTGCAGGGACCTGGTGTTATTTTGCTCAAATTGTAAATGATTTATTTTATGAATGCTGCGACACAGGACCGTGGATAAAGAAAATAATCCCCACATATGAGAAATGAATCTAACCTGCTTCCTACTCTTCCTCTCCCCCTTTGTGTGTGTGTGTGTGTGTGTGTGTGTGTGTGTGTGTGTGTGTTTGTGTGTGTTGATCTGAGATGTCTGTTCCAGATACCACGATTTTTAAAAGCAGTTTCTAAGGTGTTTTCGGGTCAAAACCTTGACTTTAAATCCATAGCTGGCCAGGGCCCTAAATACC